GTACGATGCGATGCGCCAGGCGAAGATGGGGGCCTCCTGCGGGACGACGGCCAGCCGGGGGGCGAGCAAGGCCGCGAGCGACCGCTGAGGGGCGAGGGCGGCGTTGATGGCAGCCATGACGGCATCTGGCAGATTGTTGAGCACTGTCGCGTACTCGGGCAGCACCAGCTGGCGACGACGGCGGTCCTCCTCTGTGGCTGTGGGCATGAGGGCGATGTCAGCGCCCGCCTGGAGCAGCACACGGATGGTGGTCTTGACGTGGGGGATCCGGAACGTGAGGCGGTCCCTCACGGCCTGCTCGGTGGTGTCGTCCTGCAGCTGTTGGATGTCCTCATCGAGCCGTTCGGCAGCGACGGTGAGGGGTGTCTCGTTGCCAAAGAGCGTCCCTCTGTTGATGTCGGCAGCGGTGAGACGCCGACACAGAGAGGCAGCGACACGGTGGGAGCCGTAGCTGCAGAGTGCCGCCAAGTGCAATAGCGTGCGTCCACCCAATATGTCCACGGCCGTGATGTCGGCCCCGTTGGCCACCAGCAGGTCGATGTAGCTCTCGATGAACTGCTGGGACCAAACGGGAGGTCTCATGGCCGCACTATGCAGCAGATTCATGCCACCCAGGTCCCGCTCGGTTGCGAGTGTGGTGTCACGCTGGATGAGCTGCCGGTAGAAGGACAGCAGGATGGCCTCGTGAGCCTCAGTCGGCTGGTCCGTCGGCAATGTGCGCACCTGCATCGCCGCCTCCCGTCCGCGCAGCTGGATGCCTGGAACAGGCAGACAGAAAGACAGACAGACATCATGATGTGTGTTCCATGTCGTGAGTGCTGTGAATGGGTGTGCACCTGACTGGCCCATGAGCAGGTCGAAGGCGGCCCGGTTGCACGACGCGAGGGCCACCCGGATGGGTCTAGACAAATGGCTACCGCCATTGATGTCCGCCCCTCTCTGGATGAGAGCCCGCATGACGGCGAGCTGGAGTGCTGGCGTCTCCCACGTGGGCATGGCGACGGGAGAGTAGTCACCGCCGTCGCCTGCCCAGATGGACGGCAGACGGTTGTCCGTGAGATTGTCGATGCACAGCGCCACCAGCGGATAAGCTTCATAGCGACCCGTGGTGCCCGCCACCCGCAGCAGTGGCTCCACGTTGAGGTCGGCTCCCTTCTGTTGGATCAGCTGCGTCACCTGCTGTGCGTCAGTGATGGTGCGGCGAATGATGGATTCGGACAGCTGTCTGCTGGCGTAACTGGTGCCAAGAGGGAAGCGGACGCCGATCTCGCCGCTCTCCAAGCTATTCCAGCCAGATGGTAACGGCGCACCTGGTGGGACAGCGTCCACAGAGGAGGGTGGCATGTGTGTTGGTGGTGGGTGATTTTCTGAC